CCCGGGGATGCCATCTGGTCCGACGGATTTATTTTTCCCGATTGCTGCTATCCGTTTCCTTATGATATTGATACTAATGGTAAACGTTTTATCTGAATCTGTTGATTGGATTAGCTGGTTATTTATCCGTTCGCAACTGAATACCGACGCATAATAAGCGTTAAGGGAGTTGGCCTTTTCTGTTTGATCTGTGATGAGGTTTCCTTTAACGCCCTTGATTGCCGGAATAGTTTCTCTATTACCCTTACGTCTTTTAACATATTTGTAAAACTCTGTCCAGCTTCTCCCCTCTCTTTGCAAGACCGAAGTTAAGAATGTCTCCTGAGCCTTCTTTTTTACTATCAGCAACTCCTTGGATAACCGTTTCAGCTCCGCTTGGTACTGCCCTCCAGAATTTCTCTTATTATAAACCCTCCTCACCTTTACCTTCAGACGTTTCACTTCCTTGGTATAATATTCCGGATCCGGATTTTTACTCAGGATTCTTTGAGGTACAAAACGATCGATACCCTCGAAGACTATATCCTTATAGCTTTCCCATATCTCTTCCACGCTACTACCATTTCCAGCCCATAATTTAAACTTTTCCCGAAGAAAGCTTTGTAATCCTAAAACATTTGTTTTATGGAACATGGGGACTAATCTTTCTACCTGCGGTTCACGGATTTTTTCTTCCCATTCCACTTCTAATATTACCCCACTGTGGTCACTGATCCCCTGCACAATGCTGCAAGAGGTGAGCGAACTTTCAGGCCGGACCAGGTAAACATCCAGCAATGCATCCCCTCGGGTTGGCCTATCGACTACCTGCTTGTACCCATTTTCCCATACCAGTCTATTTATAAATGCCTGATTTCTGCTAGTACCTTCCACGTTTCCCTTCCAATCTGCGTAGGGCAAATTTAAATCACCCCCAATGATACTACGCTTCGTAGAATTTCCTAAATGACTAGTTCGTGCTGCCAATCTTTCAAAAACTTGCATGTCCTCGTTAGGAGCTCTGTATATTCCTATAATTTCCCACGAATATTTTGTATCTATTCCTTTCACTTCTACCGCAATCATCTCAAAATCCTCATCTACCCATAACTCCGTACAGGCAATGAAATGTTTAACACATATGAAAACCCCACCACCACGGGCAGACCTATCTCTCCTGAAAGTTGTAAAATCTGTCCTAAAAACTTCAGCATTGCTAATATCTTCTTTAAGCCAAGACTCCGTGCCTATAACAATATCGGGGTTATACGTGTCAACTAAATTCCAAAGCTCTAAGGCTTTATTATAGATACTCCTACAGTTAACCTGCAGCACCACTAACGACTTGCCTTCAACCCTATATGCTGCTACCGAAGTTAAAGTTTCTGCCCCTGCCCTAGCTTCTATTTCCCTACTCACCAATTTACTCGTCTCTGTTCCCCTTATTTCATGCAAAGCCTTCTGTTCTCCAGTTGATGAATGCCGCGTTTCCCTGGTTGTCCTCGTTCTGTGAGTGCCGTCCACCCAAACGTGTCACGTCTTCCTTCGTGCTGCTCCTCCACCATCAAGTCCACTAACTCTAGCGTACAGTTGTCCTAATCGTCTCCTTCCCCGTCCATTCAGATGCAGTCCATCCCCATTATGCGAGATATGACATTTGAATTGTCATCTTCTTTTTTAAATCCTGAACTGGCATTTTTATTTCGTCACCTATGTACTTCCATGCGTCCTCGCGTATAATTTTGTTATGGTAATTAGCACTTTTTGAATTCCACAACACCTCTTTAGATTTATAAATCTGTGTGAGAGCTAGACACTTTTCATTCTCCATTTTGCCGCGAAATAACACCGGAACGCCACAAGACCGTCTCAACAGAGAGCACAGCACACTGAAATTCCCTTTGCCGCGGGACAAAGAACCCCTCCGATTTGGCTCGACGCGCGCCAAGTTCGAGCGCGGCAACATGGTATCGACTTTGCGAGGCAAAGCAACGAATATTGCCTCGCGCGGCAGCCGAGCGCAATCGATACCCTGCTTAAGACGTCAACGGGGGTGGGGCTAACCAAAACACTTTCTTCAACTTCACGGTTTAGACCTTTGGCCTGTTCCGACTTCAAGGGGTTTTTTCTGTATGTAAGATAATGTGTAGCCAGTAATACTTCGTAAAAATCTCATTACGCTGGACTCAATCATCTGCTTATCTGAGCGGGTTAGGGACCAATTTCCACAGCCATATGTTGACCTTATAAAATTTGAGTTGAGTCTCTCTTAGCGTTTTGTTTTTAAGCATTCGACGTGTTGTGCCACACATCTTCCTTGTAACAATAGGAGACGTTACAGCCTAAATAATCAAATGATGCAACTTCCTCTATTATTTCATTGTTGGTTACTACTCAACTCCTTGAAAAGTCATACATTTTGTTTTTGTGCTAGAAATGGGCGCCTGAGGGGAAGACACATCTGGGGAGACCTAGACGTAGATGGGAGGATAATGTCAGGCGGGATCTATGGAAGATAGGAGATGAAGGAGACTGGATTTTGTTGGTCCAGGACAGGGTCCGGTGGAGGGCTTTGGTTAATTCGGTGATGAACCTTCGGGTTCTGTAAGCCATATAGTTAGTTAGTTTGTACTGGTATTGTAATTTTTTTACGCAAGCCATTACTAGACTTTTTCATTTTAATGGACTTTGTTCATTTAAACCAGAGATGTCCACAAATGCCCACTGGATTTATTTTTGGTTAAATACCTCTTTCCCCTGTGAATCTTGTGCCATTGAAGGTCTTCAGTTTATATTAATAGTCTATTTCTTAGTGTTCCTAACGGAAATTATGGTCTAAGGATGCATTACTAACATCATAAAAACATGAGATGATAATGTTGCGTCATATTGTGATGATTATAATTGTAGTAATAATATTTTAATATTTAATATATATTTTATTGTGATTAGACGGTTAAAATTAAACAATCATTAAAACAATCATGCAATTTAACAGACAAATGTCATTAACAGATACCCCTTCTCCACTGTTAGTCCGTTAATCAGAGGGTTTACTGTAATGACCAAGTGTCATTAATGCTAAACTCAAAAGTCACTATTTAAGCAGCCTTAACATACTAGCGTATCAAGTGACGATGAGAAAAGAAGAAAAGGAAGCTAACACGTCATTCTTTCCAGCAGTTTCCTTCTCTTTCTGTGAGTCGAGGATGATACCTATACAGGGTGAGTCAGAAGTATGTTTACAAACTTCGTGTGCGTGTTCCAGGATCAAAAATAAGAAAAAATGTTCCTATGAACATGGGGTCGCAAATGTTTCATTTTCGAAATAATAGCCAAATATAAGTTTCAATAAATTGACTTTATATCAAAGTTAATCCAGCTTCCAGCAAATATTTTCAATTAACGTTTGTGCAGGCATTACATAAAGCACCATTATCTTACACACATTATTACAAGACAACACCCTGATTAGATTGGGTATATATACAAAGTATGTTCAATCGCAATACAAATTTCCAAGCAGAACCAGTTCTTGGTATTTATAATGTGTAACTCACGTTTAACAAAACTTTTTATAAATGACCTCACCGGTTCCCAGAATATTGCAGTATTATGCCACGTATCTATGCATCGGGTCTTCACACAGCTGTGTGTACAATCTATTCTCTCAACCCATAAGTTGAGTTTCATTATCACTGACGTGATGCCAATGAATTTATTCTTCTCTAATTGACTATTTAATATTATTTCGTTATTTTGCACGTTCCAAGACTGATAATTTTCATAGTATAAACTAACAAGAACCTAGTCACTATACTCCACGTTTTCTTAAAACTCAAACACTGACACGAAATTAAAAAGCAAATAAGGCATTTGGCAATAAAACAAATGCATTACCACCACTAGAGGTATTTCTGATATTATCACACTTTCTCGATGAGAATGTCATTTTATCTTTAAACTTTCCTCTTCTGCTCTATTAGTTTTCAACTTGAATACAGACATAAACCAAGCAACGACTGGGAACTGTTGCCTTTACAATTCCTCAATCAGGTGATTGTCAGTAATTCAAACAATATCCGGAATAAAAATTGTTCATAAATTCTAGTTAATGACGAAGAAAGAAACTGTTGTGGTTACAGCAGCAAAGAAAGTCAGATTATAAAATTTGCAACTGCGACGTAATGGCAGTCCTGTTAACACCACAGCCAATTTCGTAGAGCAGAATACTTCGTAACAACTGATAACGAATTAGAATTTCCTCCTTATTGACCGGGTGCAAATATATTCAAAACAGCCCAGAACTGGATGTTATCTAAAGCCCATTGAATACAGTCCACATTATTCCGTCTACTTCCTTAAAGTTCCTTCTTAATATTGTCCTATATTAATATTGGTGTCTTCACAATTCTTCCCTTCAGGATTTCAGAGTTGCACTTCATTTGTATTTCCGATTTCCCCAATACGTGTCACATGGTGCGGTATAATACGAAATAGAATTCACTGTTGACAATGAAATCTTTAATATAATTTTGTTATATTACACTCTACAGACCCAGATAATTTTTGATGGCAAAGAAGACGAGAAGTGACACAGTTCGTAGTAACTTGAGTACCGACACGAAATTATAATCCTTAAAACACAATCAAAAATAAAGATGGAAATAAAATAAGAATATCACCGCAACTTAAGCTACTTCCCATGTTGCCTTTACTACTTCCTCTGTTTTGACGTGGAAGCCATTCTGTATCTTGAAAATAATGTTTTTCTGCTCGTCTCTTACTCACTATTACAATCGTACTTCTCTCTGCTTCTAGAACTTCTCTATCACACAAAACTCTATCAAGAAACACTTCCACAGCAACGGACAGGCTACTGTTGCGTTTGCAATATACCAATCGAATGGGTTTTTAGTAATTCAAATAACCTAACACAGCATGTCGTATCTTAACAAACCTGAACTGTAACCTTCTCCCTTTTAATGATGCAGCGGACGCTCGGACTTATGACACAATTGTAGGTTTTCAACAAGCCCAGATTTATTGTTATAAATTGAAATTAAATTGTACACAAGTGTTCACACTGTCTATATTACTTACTAAATCACACAGGTACACTTCTTCACCTCGCCTCTGCCGATGTATGCAGTTCCAATATATTTTATCAAATTTGTTATAAATTTTGGTAGTTATCGAACTTGGTACAATTTCCATTATAAAGGCCGAATTGTGGCTGGGCAGTTTGCCACCGACTTACTTGATGTCCAAAAGGGAAGAGGCCTAGAAGCATCTGCACACACGACTAAAAACCCTCGGCTCTCCAAAACCAGGGGTACCTGCAGCACATCCTTGGTTTTGATTGGATCCCCTAATTTTGGGACCCACACCTAAATTTTGTAACAAAGGGGTCTCAAAGGCCATCGGTCAACCCCGTTATTACAGGTAGTGCCATTAGACTTTGCCCTACCTTAAGATTTAACAATAGGGCTTAGCTCTTAAGCGAAATGTTATACAAAAGAGGCCTTCTGTTAATGTAGCTTCTTTTGTCTTCACCAACAGACATGCTACAGGGGCATGTTTTCAATAACATGTCGCCAATAGATCAACTAACTTATAAATAGATACATTAAACTAATATAAATAAATAAAACCTTATCGGCTGAGGCTTCGGACGACTACAGAACAAACGTTTTGATTTGCCCTAACCTAAAGTAACAGGTTAGAAAAAAATTGACAGTGGAACCACGGTTCCGGAGAATGTGACGTAAATACGTCTTTGTATTTAAATTACATTTAGGCAATAAATACAATGAAAGGAAGTTTATATATTAGCTTTATTCTAAATATTCCCTTTATACATGCTTTACAATTGAGTGAAAAGTTTGATTAAGACATTTTTTGTATACTTGCTAATGATGTGGAAGCATTAACTTGCAATAATTGCTTCTTGCGATTTCTACATTCCCTCATACGTTCAGCATTAGTTATCCTCACTCAGTTTGTTCATGGTTTTCCTCATTTCCTCAAAGAAATAATGGTCTGGGACCTTCACTTATGCCACAGTTGCTTATTTCCGCATCATTTCCAGTGTACTGTTCATGAATCATCCTATCACTAATATGTTATATAAGCTGAGTTATTGATAGTATTATAATTAAAAAATAAAACTGAGTGAGCAAACCAATAAATTAAGCTTTAATAACAAAGCAATATGCCACTGCTAAACAGAAACTAACACGACTAAGAAGCAGATGAAGGAAGAAAACTGTGACTTCACAGCATGGAAATCATTGACACTGTAACTGTATATGTCAGTTTATATAGTGAGATAATGGAAATACAGACAGTTGAGATTAAATTAATAGGAAAAAAGAAATATATACAAAGAAGATTGATGGTTTGAAAACAATTCATTGATTGGAAAGCACTAGAATGTTTCAAAGAGAATGGTGAGAAAGGCCAGAGGGACAGCAAGGTTAACTTAGGATGGACTACGTGACCTGTAAAGTGGAAAGGAAGAGATAAGAATGATGTTTCTGGTTTACAAATGTGAGCTGACCGACTTCAACAGTGACTTACGGACATATCAGAAATGGAGTTTCACTATGCGAAATTTGAGGTTCGCACAATGGTGAAGATGTCAATTATGGTCTTCCTGGTTATAACACCAGTGGACTTGTAGGAAGATATAAATGCTTCAGAAGAACGTAATGTCTCCATCATCACAGCTGATGACTGAAGCAGTATGTTCCTCCAAAATGTTGGCATTACTTAAATGTCAGTTTGCTTTACGAGTCACAAGACCAACAGCAACACGGAATTTCATTATCTGGGCACATTTGAAATCGTGCAAGTGTGGGAAACAGGCAGCATAAGTACATTGCTTATGAAATTAAATAAATAATTGTTCAGGAAAATTAAAGGTGCGTTTTGTGTGAACGTGGAGTAGTACTGTCACTTTGTTCATGTCGTCTCTTCTGCGCCACTCTCTGCAGCAAAACAAATGTCAGTTTAAAAGACACTTGAATTGTACGAGAATTTTGAAATGAAATCTCTTGCATGATTTGTTCGTTGTTATTTCCGATGCTGCATTTACTTGGAGGATGTCTGAGGAGAACTCATCATACCACAAGGATTTTAATAAGTACTTGGCAAATTTAAGGCTTACATTGACAGGATATGACAATATATTATGCATGTCTTCTTAAAACTTAATTGTGATGCTACTATGTAATTCCTGAATGTGTTATGACATTTCTTAACACACAGGTTCTGCTGTGGATGTAAATAACACTTTGCAATTACAATTTTTAAAAGAAAAGAAAAGAATCTAGAACAGCTTCAAAACTCTCAAAAACGTGTGCTCACGCTGTGATTGATTTTCTTATTACATTCAATGCAAAAAAAACCCAGTTGAGGCCTAAAACATCAACAAATACTCTACTGTGAAAACAGATATGAGGAAGAACTCACATTAAAGAAAGGATGCTTCTTGATCTCCAGAGCACCTTCTTTCCCGCACCCAACCGTTTCTCGGGATCTTTCTGTAACAGTCTGCTCATAAGATCTGATGAAAACTGGATACATTTTCGGTTCCCGAGTGAGAATTCGCCTGTGAAAGAAAAGTTCATTCTTGTATTTGGGTCCTAATATGCAAAGTCATCAAATGATGTGGCATTTAAGGACACCTGTCCGTATTATTGTGTGACTCTTTATGAAGTTATTTACCCACAAATTGCAGACACATAATTCTCTACCTATAGCATATCTGCCTTTTTCTTCTTGAATGTAAATTTGATGGTGTATTTTGAGTCAAATCTCACCTCAAAATTTCATGTTTTTTTGTAAGCTACCAAAAAATTTAGATTTAAGATGTCATGTACCTCAGAACTGTTACCAGATATGAACATGTAGCTCCACACACATTACCACACAAAACAGGACTGTCAAGATCATTCATATTGATGTTGCAGCTACAGGCAGATAGGTGAGGTGAAATATGATTGCACATTATGTAGGCATCAAATTTTCAACAGTCTACCATCAAGTTTGAGAAGTCATACAAATAAAATAGCATTAAAAGATACTTAATTACATACTCCTTTTATTCTATTGATCAATTTCTAATGTTTACTAGTAAGTCACAATCTTCATCATATACTATTAATAGATTAGCCTTAGCAACCACCATTGCCTCACTTAAACCACCTGCCTGTCTGTTCTCATGGTTTGTTGCAAAGAAGTGCCATTCAGAAAAGAGACCAAAATCTTGTACATGGCAAATGTTTAAAAATCCTTTGTTTCTTCTTGAACTGAGATGCACTGCCATCACTCAAAAACATACCATCTCTGAGTACAAAAGTACGTAGTTCTTTACTTGGATCTGTTAACAGTCTAGAGATATGTGACATCATAAATCTAAATTTCCGGCTAGCTTCAAAATCCATGAAATCGTACGGTATGTTTGACCTAAAATATGCAATCAAACTGGCTCCAGATAACAAATAAGGCTAATGTGTCCTAGAAGTACAATTTGAAGGTGTAAGCATGTAGAGACAACACACAGCAGAGTTTAGAGTTATGGCACGCAGAACGTGGGAGACAGATTACGTAGTGGCTGTTTCTGTGCAATGCACTGTTATCAGTATATAAGTGTAAAGAAACATACATATTAAACATTCATTCACAATTAGTTTATAACTCCTTTAAAACGTCTTACAAAATGCGTCATCAGTGTCTAATTTTCACATAGAACGGGGGAAGATGCCTAACTTTTTGCTTTGAAACGTCATATCCGGTACAATTTTGGAAATTATTATCTGTTATAAATGTGATGTGCACTGATAAATATTTTGAAGTTACAACCCAGCTTACACGACCAAAAAATAATTTATTTGTGACTTATCATCCTTTTTTTGTAGGTTGACATTTTAGGCATCTCTCCCCGAGAATCGGGGTAAGATGACTACATGCAAAATAACAGAAGTACTCTCTTATAATTATTCCAACAGGGTGGTTTTTTTTTTTGCCGTAGTTCGGGTATTAGGCCTGCGGGATTTCTATCCTAAAGCAGTAGCTTTCTGCCGACGCATTTTTGCATTAGATTGAGTTGCCGATTTCTGCCATGCCTCCTTTAGCAAAGGTGCAAACTGTGATCTTGATACTCTGCGACCTGTGTGAGATTGTGCCCAAACGCGCATTGCTTTGAAAAAAGTGTTTCATGGGTTTAAAGAAACACCGATCAAGAGGTTGAAGGTAACGGGTGGAATGAGATGGGAAACAAACCATAATTATGCTGTTCTCTTGAGCAAGTTCCAACATATCCGGGTGAGTGCAGTGCGTAGTGTGGCCATCTTGAAGTAGCACTACTTTTCCTGCTTGTTTTCTTGGAATAAAATGCTCTTTCAGGCATTGCATTAATATAATACAGTTTACATAACCAGACTTTGCATTCATGAAAACTTTTGACTCATTGGTTTGAGAATCTTCCCTTTTTGGCTTTTTGTTTTTCCCTTTAAGTATTCAGGCTGGAGGTATAAAACAGCCTTCGGCATTGCAGCATGCTATCACAAATGCTGTATCCCCCTTTTCACCAGAAGTCATTTGATACAATGTCATAGAGCCCTTATCAGCTTTCACAGTGTCTGGTGTAGGATTCGTTTGAAAACCAGATTCATCCACATTGTATATATGGCCAGGTTTGTCTAGCAGGTTGTTTTCTGTCAACACATCCAATAATAATTTGAAGTAGTCATCAATGTCCTTTCTATTCATGGCCATAGCTCTGTCAATAGAGAGAGACCTTGGAGCTTTCTCCTAACTAATCCACGATATCGTCTCAAAAATGAGTCTAGCCAATCCGATCCTGCCATACCTTTGTCTCTGTTGAGGCTATCCTGACTCCACTGACCTCTATTAGAGGTCCTGGTATAGTTTCTGGGGATTTTCTGTATAGAAATTAAAAATACAAAAGAACACTTAAACTAGTCATCTTACCCGGAAGTAAAAGTGGCATCTTTCTCGATGATCGGGGTGTGATGCCACTGGAGTCACATGACTTAATATGACGTCACTAGAGCTCGGATCACTGACGATGCTTTCTTTGATACATGCGTTACGTGTTAACCATACCAGTTTTCGAAGTTATTTATGCATTGTAGTCAATATTATTACTTTATAATACGTCTTCAGTAGTTTTAGGGTTGTAATTTTAACATTTACCTTGCTTTTTTCGCTCTTAAACTCGATAAAACGATCGCACAACTGCACCAACAGTTTACCTCTCTTCGAACTGACGCCAGAGACTGGCACACCACCTCAAGTCACCATCTGTTAGCATGCTGCCAAACTATAGAAATATTGGCAACTTCCCCCGATTACCATCTTACCCCGATCTACTCTATATATTCAAAGTAAGTTTTACAAGCGTTAGCACAAACTACCTTGCTTAAGAGTTGTGGTGATGACAGTGTTCTATTTCATTTCCTAAGGCTAATTCTCCACATGTTACAAATGTATGTAT